GAGGAAGAGTTCGATCAGTTCATGGAGGCGATGAGGGAACCGCTCCCAGCCACCATTCGCATCACCGGATACAAGAGGTGAGCCAAAGCCTGCTAGCTTTGAGTACCAAAGCCTGCTAACTAACAAGAGGTGAGCCAAAGCATGCTAACTCTCAGTACCAAAGCCTGCTAACTAACAAGAGGTGAGCCAAAGCATGCTAACTCTCAGTACCAAAGCCTGCTAACTAACACGAGGTGAGCAAAAGCCTGCTAGCTTTGAGTCATCTTCTGCAGAACGACCAGACTACTGAACGGTTTCTTCCCCCTGGCCATTAGACTGTTTAACGCCACATAACACTCCTCCACACAGACATACACACACTAAAACCACCCCCCATGGACAAAAAATGCACCTTAGTTTAGTCTTGTCTTTAACTCATTGGCTCAAGCCCATAATCAAGCATGTTTTTTTTTTTTAGTAGACTTAAGTTTAGACTTAGACTTGTACTTTCTTGATCATTTGGGAAGACTCCCTCAGGAAATTAAAGTTACCAGCAGCTTACAGGGCAAAAAAGTGGCACACAGAGAGCAAAATGCAATAAAAAAAATACAGATTAAGTACAGAGTGATGTGGTTCATACTGGTCAAAGGTGGATCAACCAGAGATTATCATCCCAAATGTTTTCTTTTAGAATGTGAATCCTCACTGTGGCATCTTTGAGTTTTCATTTAGATGCTATAAGTCGATAATCAGGCATGTTTTTTTCTTAGTAGACTTTATTGATCCCTTGGGAAGACTCCCTCAGGAAATTAAAATGACCTGTAGCTTACAGGGCAAAAAAAGTGTCACACAGAGAGCAAAATGCAAAAAAAACAACAACAAAAAATACAGATTAAGTACAGAGTGATGTGGTTTTGCACTATGTGGTTTGGCCTGATAAATATGGAGTTCACATTTTACAGAAAAACCCAAGCGTTAGTAGTATTGAAAGGCCTTTTCCAACTTTTCCTCCCCGTTTCAGCCACGCCAAAGAGATCCTCCACTGCCTAAAGGAGAAGTACTTCAAGGAAATTCAGGAGCTGGAAATCGACGGGCAGAAGATCGAAGCTCCACAGCCTCTTAGCTGGTACCACCGTTAACGAAATGCCCGAAATAAAACAGTTTAGATCAGGGGTCACCAACCTTTTTGAAACGGAGAGCTACTTCATGGGTACCGAGTCACACGAAGGGCTACCAGTTTGATACACTCTTCTGAAATAATACATTTGCTCAATATGCTTTTAGCTATACTTCATTAATAATCATTAATGATACTCATGTGTGACAACAAAATGGGAAACATATCAATATCCACCGCTTTATCTCTATTTATCTCAGCAACTGTTAAATTTCAGATGATCACTTACAGTACATCACTACGTTTACATAGGAGTTTTCACTTTCACTCGTTTTCACTAGCCACTGACAAAACCATGTAGTTATTAGCATGCTAGCTTTTGTGGCACGAAGTGAAGTGTCTCTCCACTTTGTGCCGCTTTACCCTAACCCAGCAAATCAGACACACGCAGGTTTCTTTTACATTCTTAAAAAAGAACTCCTCCTCCCATTCGTTGTGAAAGTGGCAAGTTTTCTTTCGTTTTTCTCCCATGTTTTTGGGGTAAGCCCGCTAGCTAACTCTCCACTGACACTGGTTTTGTTTTGTCACGTGCACAATACTGACCTTTGAACTAGAGAAAACTTAAACTTAATATATAATGAACATATTTTTAAGATATTGTCTTTTTATTTTATTATTATTATTTTTTTAGAACTTAGACTTTTATTATTTTTGCAGAGCAATGATAAAACCATGCATTAAATGTACATGACACAAATGTTGACGATATGAAGTTTTCCATAAATAAACATCTTAGTCACAATTGTAGGTTCATCGTCATACAACCCCAAAATAAGGATACACTTTGGGAGGGAGATATTGTCATTTTAAATCAAATCTATATGAATGCAAGTGTGATTAAAAAAAGAATGGCAACGGAACAAAATTAAATTTTAGACGCAGCTCACTATTGAGTTGTGCTATTTTTAGAACAGGCACTGTGTTGGGGACCCCTGGTTTAGATGTTCAAAGTGAAAATACAGACTCACTGATCCTGCTTTAGGTATCCGGATGAGCAGGCCTGGCACACCAACATGAGCCGGAAAATCATCAGGAAGTCTCCCCTCCTGGAGAAGTTCCACCAGTTTCTGGTCAGCGAAACCGAGTCTGTGAGTAGAAAAAAACACCCAAAAAGAGAGAAGAATAAAAGCAGATACTAATATTTACTCCAGCTATAAGTGATCATCACAGAGAAATGGGAAAAACCTGTGTACAGTGGGGGAAATAAGTATTCGACCCCTTTGCTGATTTTGCAGGTTTGCCCACTTACAAAGAATGCAACGATCTATAACTTTAATCATATGTACATTCTAACAGTGAGAGACAGAATCCCAAAGAAAATTCCAGAAAATCACATCATATGAATTTATAAAAAATGATAACCGTCTGATGAGGAAAAATAGCATTCTTTGTAAGTGGGCAAACCTGCAAAATCAGCAAGGGGTCAAATACTTATTTCCCCCACTGTACATCTAAAGTCCTTTAGGCATTCTGAGCCACAGATTGGGAAGATCACCATGTTTCCATGTTTGTCTTTGCAGGGAAACATCAGCCGGCAGGAAGCGGTCAGCATGATCCCCCCGCTGCTCCTGAAGATCGAGTCGCATCACAAGGTTTAAAACTAATTTTAAAAAAATACATATATATATTAGGGATGTCCCAATCCGATTTCTGTATCAGATTGGCCCCCGATATTTGCAAAAAACTGCGTATCGGCCGGCAGGAGAAAATCTGATCCAGACTCCAGATCCTTTTTTTTATTATTATTATTTTTTTCTTAAAGCCCGATCCCTCATGAGCATTAGCACCTGTAACCCACAGGTCTGTGTCCTAACCATTAAGTTGTTATCAGATCATTAGCATTGGCATTAGCACCTGTAACCCACAGGTCTGTGTCCTAACCATTAAGTTGTTATCAGATCATTAGCATTAGCATTAGCACCTGTAACCCACAGGTCTGTGTCCTAACCATTAAGTTGTTATCAGAGCATTAGCGTTAGCATTAGCATCTGTAACCCACTGGTCTGTGTCCTAACCATTAAGTTATCAGAGCATTAGCATTAGCATCTGTAACCACAGGTCTGTGTCCTAACCATTAAGTTATCAGAGCATTAGCATCTGTAACCACAGGTCTATGTCCTAACCATTAAGTTGTTATCAGAGCATTAGCATTAGCATTAGC